TTAGAAATGTTGATGTACAACAGTGTTTCAATAGCGCAAAAAATTGTCCCCCCAATCCTACTCTTCCCCGTTTCCCCCAGTGCCACATCTGACGTACACCTCGCCTGGCATCACAAAAAAAAGATGGTTCTCTGTCGGCTTAACTCAGCTAATCCCCTGCCCAACCGCCCGCGACGCCACACGGCCTGCCGCATGCCCCCCCCCCCCGATCCCTTGGCTCCCCCCCCCCCCCCCCCCTAGTCTTCTTCTTCTTCTTATATATAAAAGTCTCCGCGCGCTCGCGCTTGCGGGGGATTTGGCTCTCGGACGGTGGGGTTTAAGACCGAAATAATTTTCCAGGCGGCACGCCCTAAGCCCCGTGGTGGGTTTAGGCTATTCCGTTTTCCCGTCCGTAAACTTTAAAGTAGTTTAATTAACACATTTGTGCCGTTTCTATTATTCATTATTTACTTATTGCGCGACATCGACCGTACCAAGTGACGCCAATTGCGTGGGGGGGCGGACCCTGCCAAGTCATTAAAGCGTTCGCTCCAGCTCACGGGAGACATTTTATTTTACGCGTTTACCATGGAATAGATATACACATCACGCTGCCGATTTATCTTCACAGTGTGATGTCCTCTTCCCCCCCCCCCACCCCAATGCGTGCAGTTACTCATATAAAGTCCTTACATATTAATTTTATATTATTAAAGCGGTTACATAGTATTATTATGGCGAGGGCGGGGGGGTGGTGGGGGGGGTAGCGGCCCAGCCAGCAGCCTGGCAATGTCTCACCTCCTCCGGCTTGCCAATCTAGGCGAGGCCGCGGGCTCTGCACGGGACGAGGCGTCACCACGCCAATGTAAAGTACAATTTTATTAAATCTTTCGCTAAGAACTCAGGTTTATTGTTTACTATTATTAAACAAATACGTTTATAAACATTACAATGATAATGTTTGTGTACACATAACAACTCTTGCTTCATTCTTTACTATTATGAAACTAATAAGTTGCCTAATACTCTATTACTATTATAATGTTCGTGTGCAGAAACTAGATGCGTGTGCCTAAAGTCGATGTCTGTGTGTGTGAGTCCATGTGTTTGTGTGCGTGTAAGTCGATGGGTTTCTATGTGTGTGGGTCCATGTGTGTGTCTGTCTTTTTCAAATGGACAACGCCCCGTGTGTGTACGTACAAGTGTTTGTGTGTGCGTGTCAGTCCATTTGTGTGCGTATCTGTCGCTGTGTGTATGTTAGTCCACATGTGTGTGTTAGTTCATACGTCTGTGTTTCACTCGATGTGTGTACGTCAATGCGTGTGTGTGAGTCGATGTGTGTGCATGGCTCCATCTGAGTGTGTAAGTCAATGTGCGTTTGTGTGTCTATGTGTGTCGATGTGTGTTTGTTAATCTATGTGTGTGTATCTAAAGTAGATGTCTGTGTGTCACAGTCCATATGTCTATGTGTGTGTAGGGCAATGTGTGTCAGTCTATGTATGTGTGTGTAAGTCCATGTGTTTGTATGTGTGAGTCAATGTCTGTGTGTGTCAGTCCATGGCTGTCTGTGTTAGTCGCTTTGTGTGCATGGCTCCATGTCAGTCAGTGTAAGTCCATTTCTTTGCGTGTCTGTAGCTCCATGTGCGCATGTGAGTGAGTGAATGTATGTGCTTTATTGACCTGCTCAAGGCCTATGATACCATCAGTAGGCCTGGCCTCTGGGTTGTTCTTCATGCTTTCGGAGTCCCTCAAACTTTGCTCATAATCCTTAAGGACCTTCATGATGGTGAGCGGCCCCGCGTTAAACTACATGGCCGTCAGTCAGAGCCATTCCCTCTACACCTTAGGGTGTAACAGGGATGTCCTCTGGCTCCACATTATTTAACACATTTTGACCACGTAGTTCGTGAAGCCTTCAATGGCTGTTCCCGAGGAATTACCATATGGTACAGATACAATGGGAGGCTGATCGATTCCCGGGTGCGGTCAAGGGATGCCTCCCTATTGCTCAACCATGTTATGTATGCCGATGCTCTGGTGATTGCTGCTCACTGCGGCTGAACCTGGAGCTTGCCACTAAGAGGTGGAGCCTTACTATCAGCCCCACCAAAACTAAGCACCTGCCTGGGTATTTTGTACCATCGAACAATCCACCCCCACAACTCACAATTGGTAATGCGGTAGTTGTGGAGAGATTGCCGAGATTCCCATACCTGGCCAGTGTGCTCATGACCGGCTCCGGTTTAACAGCAGAGGTCTCACTCCAAATCAGTCGAGCGCCATTATCTTTTCATCGGCTGTGTTACTGCTGTGTGGAAGCTACCTGGTCTTTCGCTCCATGAAGCTCTAGGTCTTCTCGGGCACGGTAATTCCCTCCCTTCTCTACGCTTGCGAAACGTGCACCCCCCTAATGGAACATCTTCACCGGTTAGAAACATTTAGGTTGGCCTGCTAACGATCCTTTCCTGGATTTAACCATATATGTGTGTGTGTGCGTCTACGTTGATGTGTTTCTATGTGTGTGGGTCAATGTCTGTGTGTAAGTCCATGTGTGTATCTTCCTTTTTTGCCCGAGCAACGCCGGGTACTTACCGCTAGTCCCCTATATAAACACGTGTCTCTAAATAGCTCTCTTCATACGCTACAGTAATTTTGCTGGAGCAGTCACACCTGATGACGGATGCTTGCGTTGCTTCCCAAACGTCGTGATTTAATTTAGTAGTTTTATTTCTTTTTTATTTTGTTTTCACCTACGTGACTTTACCGAAAAAACCAAAGAGAATGACCTTGGGAAGTCTCACAACTCTGCACGGCCGATCAACCCACGTCTCCATCGGCTGAGAGATATACATAATCCATTCATGCGTACACAAATCAATGCGTGTATTGTAAATGTGTAGTGTCCTCCTCGGTGTGTGAGTGTAGCGCACACTCAGTCGGAAACGAGGTAGTAACTGGAGGCACCTTCTCTTTTATTTCCATTGCACCAACTCTGGCCGTTCTCACTCACACGGATCGCCTCCTCTCTCGACTACTTTGCCATACAGCCCGGCCTAGACATAACCCTGGCCGTGTTGCACCGACGGTGTCGACCGAGACGGCCAACTACCGTCCAACCGCGCAATGATCGGGCGAAGTTGGCGGTGGCTAAGATGACAGCGACAGCACCACTCACAGAACCGGCAGCCCGGAGTTCTTCGCCGCTTTGATTTGCCCTGGCCACGCCTCCCTTCTCGAACCTACTAGCGGGTTCCAGGGGCCTCCGATGAGGTCTTCCGTGACCCTTGCCCCAGTTCCTCCGCCCTGCCGGCGCACACACCGTGTGTACGCTCGACGGTGTGTGCGATAACTATCCACCGCAGTTGCCGCTGCTGGACAACAGTCAGCGCTGTGTCACTACAAATGTAAGAATTTATTTTAATTGATGCTTTGCTGTCCCGTTAGATTCCTACTGGCAGTGCCTACTCTGGATGTTCTCTCCAGAGGCAGATTTTAAATTCTCACCGCAGCTTAGAGCATTCTCGCAAAAGATTTGGGCGAGCCATCGAACGAAGACTGTCACTACATTGCATGCTTTCAGATGCGCTTCTGCAGCTGTCTGGAATGCTCTTCCGATATTAGGAAGCCACTGGAGCTATGCATTTTAAAATCTAGATTCAAAACTCAATTATTTAGAACTGCTTTTTTGTTTAGTTTGTCCTTCCCCCACGCCTCCGATTAGTGCGGTTGGCTACATACGGTGCGAAATAAATTCCACATACATATCATGCAGAGCAAAATACATCAACCACCATTGCCTTGGTGCTCTTGGAAAACAGTTAGTTACGCGTACAGAACGAAAACATAGGTTTGCCCCTCTTGTTCACGATGAAGGTTGCATGCATGTTGTTCCGTGAACCCATTGACAAGGACAACCTGAGAGCTGGCCTCTGTAAGGCCTGGGGACAGTGTTCGAGAACACGGAGTGCTGTGCAAGTGCGTTGCCGGGGCTCGTCTGTGCGAACTCTACAGTCCGCGATATTGTACTGTATCTGCTCGGGCATGTCGACACCTGCCCCTGCTCCCCATCACACCATTGGCATGGTGTGCCAGTAAAGGTGGCCAAATTGATTAGCAGCAAAAAGACTGAGAAATGTGCCATTGCATTTCATTTGTAATTTCCATGCTACCAGGAATTCAATTCAATTTCCCACAGCGTAATGAATTAGGATTTCAAGTATGGCAGTCCATATTATAATATAGCTTCCAAGATTAATATCGGCATTGGCCGCTGGAATTGTAACATCCTCGTAGAATGATAGGAAATTCGTGTAAAACCAGAAAGGACATTTGAAATTTATTTCCAGCGACTGCACAAACCGTTGTACTTAACTTAACCTCACTCTATTCTACAGACTGGTCCCTACCATAATAACGAGGAATGTCCACCAGTAGCTTAGGAGCACCAATGGACACAACTATCTATAGTGACCAAGTGCAGGCCAAAAACAGTAGATCAACAACTTGATTAAATACACTGGCTTTTAAATGTTTTTGGCAGTGGATAATGGTCATTCTAGAATACGACAATGCTAAACAGTAGCTTTTAGCGCATTTTTAGCTTATACAAATTTTTTCGGTCTTTTTCGGCTGTCCATCGCATTGGCCACACTGTGGGCAATAGCAACAGTGGTAAAGTATCTACAGAATCTTGAAGCTTTCGTGACTGCAGGAATACATACTCTTTGGGTCTTTCGGTAAAGTCACGTAGGTATAATAGATCGCTGTGATCTAGATCACAGTGATCACAGTGATCTACCTACGTGACTTTACCGAAAGACCCAAAGAGTACCTGCAGAATATTGAGATGAGCAACCATCCAGCGACGTACCGTCAATGGCCTTGCCATCGTCTTCACAACCTGGATGCTGGGCCCATCTGGCCTGTGGTCGGGCCCCGGTTCATTTGCACTCCCTGCACAAACTCTAAAAGCTGTGCTACTGCAATCATCTGCCACATGTTTGATCATTACGACACAAGAGTTGTATTTGGTTGAACCTTATGATCTTTTATTTAATCCGGGCGGCAGGAAGATTCTTAACAGTGAAATGAGTTCCTTCGTGATCGTGACATTGGTTATTTGATAAAAAAAAAAACTTAATACACAATACCAAGCTGACGGAGGTAATAACGATTGGCATTTTCATTAGCCAGTGCTAATAGAGACAGTCTTGTACTTGACACGATGCTTATATGCAGGCATATATACATTACAATATTTTAGAGCAGCAATCATACATTTTGAGTGCAAGATATTAAAAAGTATGCCCAGGATATACAATAGTGCAAGCTCTGACGTTGCTGCACTCGCAACATGATTCGTGCACAAATATAAACGGGTGTATTTTGCTCACTTGGCTAGAACAGCAGAGCTCCCAATCAAGAGGTCGTAAGGTCGAGTCTCAGTCGGTGCCAAGTCGGCCCCATCATCATCATCATGCAGAGCTCATAAAATGAGCATTGCACGGTCAAGTTCCACCACTTCATGCGAAGTCGGTACTGTGGAGAAACTGTTATCTGTCATTGCAATATGGGATTTCCATTGTTGGTTCTCGAATACTATTAGAGCGGAGCACTGCACGAAATGCGTATGGGGACACTGATTTAACTTTTGATTTGGCATATATTTTGTTTGCTGGCAATAATGTGGCGCTAAAGTTAAGCGCAATGTTAGGTTTTGACGTGACAATTGTTAGTATCTTGCTCTTAAAATGCTTTAATTGCGCCACTTTTGAACTGTGCGTGAATAGGATGTGTGTAATGTGTGTGTGTACACACAGATACATGTGTGCATGTGACACTGAGTTGTACCACGAATAAATACAGATGTAATGCTCTTAAAGATCGTGGAACACCGTTATACCCCTTTTCCACTGGCACATTTGAGCCGAGCCAGCGTGGTTGCCCTCGTAGTTTAGGTTATTGCACTGTTGGAATCAAACGGTGCTGTGCTTGCATCAAAAGTCATCTGAATCTGGCTCGGGTCCAAGGAGGGCCACGGTTGGAGCTAACGAACCTTTAACGCATGTGACTTGTCAGTACAATCAAATACGGCACCATCTGTATACGTCTCGATTCTTTAATCTTGCGTGCGACGTCAGTGAGACACAGCATGGATTCTGCAATGGAAAAACAATCTGGCGCCTCCTAGCCCACGCCGGGCTTGGTTCCATGTGACCCTGGTGCGGCTCGCTTGGTACAGTGGAAGAGAGGTATTTGGGGAGAATATCTGGCGCTGATAGAAAATGTTGCCTCCGTCATCTACACCAAACAGCGGTGCCTGCTGTGGCGCTTTCAGGAGTGCAAGGGAAACGAAGTGCGTCGCTCTGCTCGGTGGCAAAATCGTGCATAACCTTTAACCTTTCCAGAAAAAGAGGCTGGGGTGGTAGGTGTTGTGAATGAGGTCTTGCTGTTTGTTTATTATAGAATAGTGCTGTACTAAAACACATGCCGTGGGATTTAACTTAACGAGCTCGTGTAGGTGATTTTTTTTTAAATAGCAGTATTGTTCAAACATGAATTAAAATAGTGTCCGAAATTTAACATGTCTTTTCTTGTTTGTTTGGAGGTTTTTTTCACGTGCATGTTTTAGAAAAACACATTGTAGGATGTCAAAAAATGTACTGTAGTATCTGATAATTCCACTGGAATTTATTAACTGATTAATATTATAAATTTGGCATGTTTTATTATGTATTTACAATATTGAATAAGGCGTTATAATGTAACAATGTTTAAGGGGAATCTATATTGTATAAATTACGATTTCATATCAATTCAGAAAATGTACAATAGCTGCAAGTAAAACATGTACAATGTCGAAATAATAGTCACATTTATTGCAATGCTTTAGCTAAAAGTAGTAAGATTGGTGCTCAAAGCAAATAAAAGGGCCATGCATTTTTGGAATTTCGCAAAAATACTGCCACTTCCTTTCACATTTTACATTTAAAAGCTCAAACGTGTGCTGCTCTCAACAACAGGCAAGCACAATTCCTATCACACCTTGTGTGCATGTCACGTGACCTGCCACATTGCATGCACAATGCTGCTCTCAGCCTTGTCCAAGCCTCGTGATGGCAGTCGAACCTTCTTCCTGCTGTTTGCGAGCAGCAACACCTTTGTGTTGATGTTCAGCCTGTTCGTTTTCCAGCCTCGCGCACAATTTATTTTTGTGCTAGCCTTTCTCACCATTTACAGAAAGTGTTGCGTTTGAATGGCTCACGTTTGCGCACGTTTAAACCAAAGATGCGAGTTTTGTTCCAAATGGTTAATTTCTGGGTTGTTGTATGTTTTGTCCTGTCATGTGCTGCATAAAGGCCCTGGCGAGCGCAGACTCTAAAGTGCCTCCTCCCCCCGCCTCATTTTCATCCCAAGAGAGCGTCTCATCCCAAAGCGTCTCATCCCAAAGCGTCTCATCCCACACGAGCGTAGCAGCGGCACTTGCCTCTTAGTCTACTCTAGACCACCAAAGGCGAACATCAAACGAAAAGTCACATTTATCATATTGTGCAAATTTTTCACAGCATAGTGTTCTGTCTCGGCGTAACTATTTTGCTAACACTACCGACGCGAAGAAATCGAAGCTACCGTGTACATTATTAGGTATTTCTAAATACATACAATAATAGTACACTTGAATATTTAAATGAACTCATATGCAGTTATACCAGCATATTGCTTCTGGATTAGTGATCTTACATTTAATATTCTAATTACAAATTGTTATTATTTTCTGCGTTTTCTAAAACGTTTTACGTTAACGTTTAAGTTGGTAAGCTCTGGTGCCATTTGTCTAAAGGAAATGACACAACGTGTTTTGCTACAAATGTACAAAGCATGTCTACAATATGCGTAGGTAGTCATAAGGTGCTTCCATCTAGCGTTGGAGAATACTGCCCAACATAAATCGACCAATGGAATGATTCAAGGAGCACGACGTGTCCTTGATGACAAGTGCACACCTCGTCACACCTCGTCACACCTCGTCACACCTCGTCACACATTCGTCGCTCGTCTCTACGTCGCCTCCATCGACCGCTATGCCGATGAGAACCAAAGCTTTGCTCGCTGCGTTAAATAAGGATCCATATACAACGCGCAATTACGCTTTTAAATCGATGCACAAATGCCTTGTCATCGTTACTTATATTCATTAGCGACAATTCGGTAGCTTCAAACTTTATGCGTCGCTATTTAAAATGTGCATTTGTAAATATTGCAGGGTTTTCACCACCGAACGCAATTCCTCTCACAATTTGATACCATTTTAGGTTAAACGCTCCTGCCGAAGGCAATTTTTTGACCCTCGCATTTGGGCAAGTAATCTTTAAATACAAAATCGGATTTCAAAACAGTTTTTTTTCAAGGCCAGCTATCTGTACAGTAATTCACTTATTTGTGTGTGTGCACATGTATACATATTCTACATGTATTTTGAGTGTGTGTACCCACATTACTAAGTACCCTGCACACAATCCGTATTGAGCCGCGTCAAAACAATGCACAGCACCAATGCACGATTAAGAATAGCCCACAGTGCGGTCGCCAATCTCACACCGTGGACCACACAGAAGCGTCACTGGCGGCGGCGTTCCAGGTCTCCGCCGCGAGGCGACTTCACTCGCTCGCCAACCTCGACGTGAGCGCAGCATCAACGCCGCAGATCAACTCCTCGCCTTTCGCAAAAAAAATTCTCCATGACAACGTGCTAATATCACATCAGTCCTGTGCTGTGAACGGAGTTAAAAGATACATCATCTGAGCCATCCGCCATCCGCCTGCTGCGTGTTGACATTTCTTTAAAAGCACCATTGCTGCTGTCACCTGAACGGCCGCTAAACGAACGTTCGTGGTGCAGCGCACCGACCTTCGCATTCATAACGCTCACAGCAAATCCAATCGCGTTCACGGCGCTCTATTGAAGCCATTTCTAATGCATACTGTTGTATTTATTCCATCGCATTGTTTTATAAAACATGCCGTTCGTATTTTCACGGCACCAATGTAAGCATTGGTGTATTATAAACACTGGGAAACAATGCTATGAACGTGGCTTGAATAGATGCGGAGTGAAGCGACTGGCGGTTGCAACGTTTGAGTTTTGTAAATTATCAATTGAAAACTTGAAATGCGTGAATTGTATCACTTTGGTAGATTTTTAGCTGTGAGATGACTTGCCCAATCATATGGAAAGAGGTAGCACGGCTTGGGAAATAGCAATGTACTTGTAAAATGGATGGACCCAACCCCACCATGGGAATGAGAAATGCCTGGTGCCGTAATGCAGTTGAGCTCTGCCCAACGTTCAATTGAGAATGGAGCATTGTGGGAAGGGCTACCCCCAACCTATGTTTAAATCATCCAAGTGCAAGGTCCATCCAATGGATTATATCCATGAAGAATACGCAGTTAAAGCTTGAATATCTGTTATCTGATTGATGGATTTGCTTCAAAGTGACCTTATTGAGTCCAACGGACTTGACTCAACAGTATTGGAATTGATAAGTTCAATTCGTATTCTTGATCAAGCAGGACTCAGAATGGGGGCAAACATGCAATGCCAATGTTTGCGTTGTGAGTCATCGCAGAAACGTCTGCAGTATCTGTAGTGTTCTGGTCCCGCAGAAGTGCAATATAATCATCTCTTAAGCTTCAAATTAAAATGCTTTTATGCTTGATTGTAAAATAACGCATTTTTAACGTCTTTGACTGCAGAGAGAAACCTGAACTCTTTGTTTCTACTTACAATGTTGCCATATCTGCAAAAAGGGCCTCAACTTTTAATGAGCCGATTTGTTAGAATTTCTGGACGTAGTTTTTATGTTATAACTCGCATGTGGCAATGCACAAAATGTGCACACTGCCATGTCTCATGCGAGGCACTGCTTAATTTGAAGACTGACTTTTAACTACCTTTTTAGTGTTTGTAACAAGTCGAACACGTGCCATGTGAAGACGTTTGTGGTCATGATGGCGAGTGTGGAATGCATTCCTTTTGTCCTTGTTAATATATATCGGTGGTGTTTGTTGCTGTAGACTCTGGTTCAGAACAAAACTTGAATAACTCGCGAGATCTGACATTTCCAATTGCGTTTGGAAAAGTTATTGAGCAATTGCCCTGCCAGGCTGAAGACCCTTGGGATGCGATTTTCATTTCTGATAATTCAGTCGTTAGCAAATTAATATTTGAATTCAACAACATAAATAAGCAGACAATATTCCTCCACAAATCTTGATTTAAAGCTTTCGTGGCTGCAGGAATTTATATTCTTGGGTATTTCGGTAAAGCCACGTGGCTTTAACGAAAATACCCAAGAATATAAATATTCCTCCTTGCCGTATTTGTCTCCACATAGAAAAACCAGGTCGGGTAAGCGAGCTTTCAATGAGTTCTGGTGATAATATCTAACCTCTCACAACAGTATTTAGTCACTTGAAGTTGCCGATTCATTGTCAACTCAGAGCAAAAACACTGTTGGCTTCATAAACAATTATAGTTTTACTAAATATATTGTGCTGATGAAGACTTAATATTTCTAATAAAATATCTTTAGTTATTCCCCCCCCACCTCCCCGACATATTGGTTTAAATGCCCTACTCAAGGTGTGTTCTACAATTGGCAGCTGTAGCCCGCTAACTTAGAGGCAGGGTTGGTGGGCCACTCGAGACGGGAGCAGCAATGTGTGTTGCAGCGTCTACCTCGCGGGTGGTTGGCTACATACGATGCGGAAGAAGTTCAACATGCATACGTGAATTTCTGATTTATCTGTGCATAATTTCAGCATCATATATTGGTGTAATTTTCTAACAAACGATCTTAGAGCTAGGCCATTAAGGTATCTTGTTGTTTTCCTGGGTGTTTTATTACTACGACAGTGGATTGTTTCAACATACTATAAATGGCAATAGTGTGGAACAGGGACCCAATATAATACGTTACTGCTGTATTTTCAAGAACATATACAATTAATGTCAATATCATGGACTTTAAATGGATCTCTGACCTGTTGTAAGACTTGTTCTTGTATTGTGCTTCTGTCTTGGTGACAGATTTCTTGACCTGAGGTTATACTGGAAATAATTTGAAATGCCCTCTTGCACTTAGCTGAGAACTAGATTATTGCAGATAAACTGGCCTTCCCCACCCTTGTTGTGCATCACATTATAAAAATAAAGGATCGTAAATGAGAATGTTGTAATAAGAAAACTAAATATTTACCAATGACGGCCTCAGCAAGTCTCAGTACTTTTCCAGCAGAGTCCTGAAAATTGGGATGTTTGACCATGTGAGGAGAAACTGGAGTGCCCCAGAGACACGCACCACAACGCAAACGAGGGGGTGACACTCAGCACTGCCATCTCCTGGCCACCTTGCCGCCTCTAAACAACAAACACCTGGCAAGCCCTAGGATCACCAAAGGGTCGGTGACCTAGCTAAATGTGCCTTACAATATTAGACATATTCTCGGTGATTTGGTCATAGATATTTCCAGGACTCATGGAAAGTAACTAACAATGTGCAAATAGCATAATTTTAAGCTTGGTTACCCGAACAAAACTACACGATCACTGTGGATACTATCCTTTATTACGATCCTACTCCATTTAAGTTCCATGTAGGTATTTCAGAATCCTAAAACGATTTGTGGTATTAATTTCGTACTTATTCAGACCCACGTTTGCAGCTGCAGGTGAAGTCTGTTGGCCCGGTCCTTTTCTCACATAACGGCAGCCATTGTTGTTTGTTTTCCTGAATCCCATAATTTGTGGCAGATGGCGTGCGCCGAGCAATTATGCATCAAATATGAATTCTCCCATCGCATGGACGAATCGACAAGAGGGGAGACCTGAAGCGCGGCAGAACGATGATAGGACACCAACACGCTTTTGTGCGGCATGGCAGTCAAACTCGCAGCAGAAAACATCCCCTTCCTCTCTCCACCCACATATACTCCTTCCCTCGGCCTTCACACCACACGTGTGCATTCACGTCGATCTTTGTCTTTGTGGTATGGAGTGGGCACGTAGTATTGCACACACTGTGCTGCATTGCAATACCAGAGGTCCGGATTCAATTCCAACCTATTCAAGGCCTTGAAAGGGTCAATTTGGGTTTAAATGAGTGCCTAGTGCAGTGTGTAAACAACACCTGGGAGACGACAGAGTAAATATGCACACAATATAGTGCATCTCCTTCATATATAGCTGTCCTTCCACGTACAAAATGAAATCTTTTTTTTTACACTTGCCATCAACCACAACGACCTGTGGGAGTGCATAATTTCAGCAGCATTGATTCAATACAAGCAAAACTCTGGACCGGTTTTGCTTGAAACGCTGCTGGTGAACTGTCAGATTATAACATATGGGTCCTTGTTCGACACAATTATATAATACTGTACATGCCACACTACTAATAGGCGTTGTTGTGGAGAATATACGTAACTAAATAAATAAGCAAACAATATGCCGCATGTCACTGCACTTTAAACAAATGTATTTTTTACACTTATGCACTCCCATAATGGCCCATTCTGGCCTTGCTAATTACAAACCAAAAGCACTTAACTTATATCCGACATACAACTTAGCAATGTAAATGTTTGAATGTGTGTGTGTCTGTTTGCCTTCATAGTTGCTCGTGAACAGCACTAGTCACAACAGCCTGAAAAGGCGGACGGGGGAAGATCTTTGTCCTATGTTTTGTTGTCTATTTGTGAAATTTTTTGGGTCTGTAGACTAAGAACAGTTTCACTATTGGTCAATATCCAGTCAACCACCTGGTTTCATTTTTCAGTTGGCTCCTTACCCAGGCCTCTCACAAGGGACGCTGTGTCTAAGTGCTATAATTATTAACGCAGGCATTTAAGAATTCTAATTAAAACTTTCTCATTGCTTAAACGTATCTCCCCCACTATATATATTTTAAATAACTGCCAAATAAACTTGTAACAGACAGAAGACATTGTTACATTGCAATACCGCACTCGATTCCAATTATCAAATGAATCCACTCTTTTTTATATATCCTACAATCCAAGTTCTCCTCACGAGAGATGAAAATAGATTTCTTCATACTTTTTGAGGAAGGCAATTACTTGCAATTATCAATTACCAATCATGGCTCTGGCAGCCCGTGTGCAGTAGATAGATTCCATTTTTAAATGCATTACTTGTGTTGCCATAAAACTCCATACCAGAGCTGGGTGATAAATATTGAAAACTTGGGCCTTGTCTCGGCGCTGTGACATCCCCCTTGGTCATCAGCTATAGATCATACGTCTGTCTCCACAGTGGAGTCAACAAGCAATCATCGCTGGCCTCAGTCGGAACACAATTCGGCCATAACTGGAGCCGTCTCAATAATGTATTCGAGTACAAGGACACGCATTGAAAAAATACTCTTTCCACCTCCGTCAATGCTGCATTATACAGAAACACACAGAGGGTAACGTCTTGGACACTGGGACACTGGGCCCCTGCCCAGACCAAAACAAATTTTCTCTCTTTATTTTACCAGGGAAGACCTACCGAGCTAAATAGCTCTTTTTCAGACCTGGTCACAAATGATAGCTCAAGAGAGTGGCTTATCACATGGGAATATATAGCAGCCAAATACCCCAAATGCATGTTTCTAAATGTGGAGGGAAAAACCGGAGGACCCAGAGAAAATTCTATGCAACCACGGGGAGAACACGCAAACTCCAAATATACAGGCGACGGGGTGGGGATCGAACCCACAATCCCCTGCATACCAGCGAGGGAGTTAACATCTCACCACCGCGAAGAAATGTTCCAGCACAGTCATTGCCCACTTGTGAATTTTCCTGGTATGAGGCGGTTTCACTGAACAAGTTGTGAGTTTCAATCTGATCTGCTCTTGTAGACCACTGCCAAATTGGTCCCTTGAATGTTGCGTTTCACTTCTAGTAGAAGTTACGTGCAACAGCATGTACCACAGTAAACCTTCCAATGGCGGGTTCCAGTCTTCCATCCAGCAGGTGCAGGTGTTATTTTCTTTTAATTGCCCTGGAAAGTGTGCTACTTGAACGGTGAACAGTCTTCGAATATTGATCCACGTTACTTTTTTTTATAATCAAGGATCCAGTTAATTTTGTAGTCTTGCATCGTCATGAAATTTGGGAAGCTGGAGAGTAATAAATATACCACGTCAAGTGTTGATCTCAGAAAGGTGACATCTCGAGCCACGGTTTTCTAATCAGCCTTACCGCGCCACAAAGTGAGCCATTTATTTTTAAGGAGCAGTCCCTTGGGCTTGAGGGAGGCAATGAATGTAGAGCGAGACAGCAGGGCTCATCTCATCCTCGCAAGCTAAGTAATACAATAAAAGTGAAGCGGCTTTCTTCGAGCGCCAGCGATCCACGGTGTTGCATTCCACGGTGTGATGTGGAGACAACCCCCATTGTTGTTTTCGACAAGAGTCATTTCGGAGCGTTTGCCGAAGCGAACCTCAATACTGAAGCAGCAAATACACTGCGCAATCATAATGTTTTCACACGTGATAGGCCCCCCCCACCCCACCTGTGTGGGCATGAGAGAAACCAACAACGTTGAGCCACCCAAAATATGATTCCAGCAGCAGCTCCTCACCACCGCACGGAAGTGGCAATATCGTACAGTCAAATGCATTTTCAATTGTTCACTACTTGTTGACGGCAATCGGAGAAATGTTACAATTTTACAATTTAAATTTCGTAAATTGGGTAGGAATAACATGAGGTCCAGTTGAATTCTGTTCATGAATTTATCTTGGTCATTCTGATCATTATTGTCTATTGAGCTCTGATCAGTAAGATGTCTTGTAGATTCCGATTTAAATATAGATGCACTTCAAGTTTCCTCTCCTGTCATTTGAATGTGGTTGTTGAAGCATTACGGGTTTTTTAATTCTGCAAAGAGATTCTACAGTGTGTACGATAGCACGGTGGGGACTGGATATGCTACTTTATAATAAGCGGTTGGTTTGGTGGTTTTTTACTTTAGGCGTCCCACGTTTCCAAAGCGGTAGTTGTAATGGTTGTTTTGGGCCACCGTCGTAAAACGATGTTGTCTAGCCGCCACCACCTGTCTGGTCGGAGATGAGGATGGCCTGGCGCTCCGGACACGGCCCCTTGGCCGGCATTTGCACCATGAGGAAAGGCTCACGGCTGCTGCCTTTGCCCAGTCCTCCCCCAACACCACCACCGCCGGCGTTGAGGCCTCCCTCGTACCGGCCCGGCTCCACCACCATGCTCTCCTGGTCCTCGGAGGGACACGATGCTCGCTGCAGGCGCAGGTAGCACCAGCAGCCGCAGATGAGCGCGCCGAGAGCCGCGATGGCTATCAAGATGACAATGACCGTCACCACGCCAGTCGTGGGGCTGTGGTCCATGGGCAGCATCGCGTCAGCAGGCAGGTGGCGTGGGCTAGTGAGGAGAGTGAGTGAGGCCGAGGCTGTATTGCGAAAGACGCTGTCCCCCCTCCGTTTGTTTTCAGGAGAACTACCGACCGATTCCTTGGTAGTTGTCTGCTGTATTTCTCCACGTCTTTTATTTACGCATGGCAGTCTTCGCCAAGTTCATTATCAGCATCGTTTGTTTTTTGTTTGCTGATGTTTTGCGCGATGAAGTCTAAAATTTAAATATGTGTTTACTGTGATGTAGTCGAGGAATAGAGGAATGGCATAAGGTCATTGTTTTTGGATGATTACTTCTGGCTTCTCCTCCTCCTGAAAGACATAAAAAAATGTCACTGTTAGTCATGTTGTGCAAATAGCTGCTTGGCATACAGCGGTTTTTCTTGTGCAGTCAGATACAAGAAAACAATACCTTCTTGAATCATTTACTCTATGAGTTTCGCAGTCCCTTGACCCATCAGCCATCTGTGCGTTTAACTCGTCACCCCTGTTCAATTTCGAGTCGAGACCTTCATCTCTTCCTAGGACTTGACTGTGTTTTTATGTTTATAAATACATTAGTGAATTTGCTTCCTTTCCGCAGAAGGCTCATGTCCCCACTGCTCTGCACAGCTTTTTGAGATGCGGTTGCATTTGGACGTGACATGAATCTAAATCGTTTTGCATTGTATTTGTTGTGCCTCCTATCCAAATATATTCCATTTGCTGGGCTCAAATAATGCTCTCTGCCTAAATGCAGCCAACTGAAAAGCTTTCGCCCAAATCGTGTTCATTAAAGTCAAGAGGAATGCTGTGCGTGCCCTCTCTGAACCCGTTCCCAAAATTCAGTGAAATGCAAAATCCTTTGCGCTTATGCTAATATATATTTTTACATTGGCAGAAGTGCAGAGTAATTTAGAAGGCATGCCGAACAAATACATAAGTATTCTTCATTGCAAAGCCCGCAGGCCACTGGTGGCCTTTAGTGTGATACCGGACGTGCGGCCCCGACAATACACAAATGTCAAAACACCTCATCGCCGTGCTGTCAAACCCAATGGTTTCAAATGTGTGGCGGCCTCCCTCTGAAAATTAGTGAAAAACACCGCATTATAAAGTCGCACTCATTAAACACAAAGTGTTTGGCACAAATTAACCACGATACAGTAATAGGTTTTTACCCTTTCAACTGGTACAAAAACTGATACCTTTATACAAGGGATCATGTTTGCAATAACCACAACACAAGCAGTCAAAATGCAAACAAAAAGAAACAACTCATTATCAGTTGTTTCATTTTGTTTGCAAAAGAAACAACTCATTATCAGAGTTGTTTCTTTTTGTTTGCATTTTGACTGCTTGTGTTGTGGTTATTGCAAACATGATCCCTTGTATAAAGGTATCAGTTTTTGTACCAGGTTGAAAGGGTAAAAACCTATTACTATATTTTGCCACTGGTAAAGGAGATGTCTCATAGTAGTAACCACAATACCTTGCAGATCTCGTTAACGAGCATAACAAATTCCGCGACCTCCAGTCATCCTCGCAGCAGCAGCATTTGGCTAGCCAACTTACAAAGACGGTGGTGATTGCATCGCGCGCTTTCAGATGCGTTTCTGCGGCCATCTTAGAACGCTCTTCCAATATTAGGAAGCCACTGGAGCTATCTGCTTTAATCTAGCTTGAAAAGTAATGTCTTTGGAACCCATTTCTCTTTTAGTTTCTCCTTCCCGCGCATCTCCGATTAGCATGATTGGCTACATACGGTGTGAAAGAAGTTCAGCATTAATACTGCTGCGGTGTAGATTTTCATGATTATGCTGCCCAGTTCCTGAAGCTACTAGCACGTGCAGCGAGAGGCGTGGCATTGTACCTGACACCACGAGGTACAACCGAAAGACCCATCAGGAGAGTTAATGTATATTTTTTGTGTGGCTATATAACACATTTCTACAAATTCGCAAACGGTAATGTTTGTTGGCTCAAAGTTAAGTGATACAGTGTGGAAAAACAAAAATAGACCGGGAACATATACACCTACAAAAAGACTCGTACTTATTGAATAATATTCTATGATTTTTAAGCACGCATCATAACTATGGCTGATGCTATGATTTTTTTGTGTATACAAATTTACATTCGCTTTGCAGAACTATTTCCTATAAGGATGAGAGATCCAAATGTCTTAATTTTGTGTGACCTTAAAACACTTCTACTGTGACGGTTTTTCACACTCTCCTTAACTCCAATTGGTGGCGCGAAGTATGTATTTTGATGTCGTGCCCATGTATTTTTAAGTTCAGTAGCTTAATGTCTGCGCTTGACTCTGCCTTTTAGTGCAGCTGTGGGTCAACTTGAAACCATCTGAAAATAACATCAACGGGCAAAGTGCATTTCCCAGCAGCCCGTGGGGCTATTTACCAAAGGAAGCAAGCCACCCGCAAAAAATGCAACATTTATATGGGACGGAATTCAAAAGATTCAACGAATATTTTAACATTGCTCCCAGGAGCTTTCGAAATGTGAGTTTATTGAAAATGTTGAATACTTTTTTTCAATTAATCTGTATCAGCATTGATAAGACCAGCACATAGATGTGCAATACTTCTGAAGTGTCCATGCACAGGTGGTTTTATTGGCAACAATTATATTTTTTCACAATTACTTGTTTTGCCATTGGCTGGCTATTATGGTGGTAATCTTGTATGCCTGAACTATAATATAATCTTCGCCATCGCGAAGAGATGTGTTTATAGTAATTTAGCAGACATGACTTGTGACTGCTGTAGGCAAGACATATCTTCCAAATATTCTGAAAAGGGAAGACATTGTTTTTAAGATTATCAACGTGGATTTATCATTATTATCATCAGCTTTTCCCTCTCCACCACTTGATGAAGGTAGCCTCATGCCATCACCATCTTTCAGTCCTACGATGCCACAATCAATCTCACTTCCGCAACTATACTCATCTCACTGCTCCACCTTCTCCAGCTGTCATTCCATCACCACTCTTATCCATCCGCTTTCATCCCTTGAGTGATGTGTCCTGCCCAAGCACACTTTCCTGTCCCACAATCGCTCAAACGCGTTCGTCTCGGATGGGTTCTCGGCCTGGAATAAGATGGGCGGCCGCAATTGCTGCCTTCTCCAACATAAAGGCGGCGTGTAGTCGCTCCACAACCAGGCGGTACAGAAGGCCAGAGACATGATGAACACGGAGATGCACATCATCACGGGCAAGCACGGCCTGGAGAAGCAGATGGCCCAGGTGATCGCCGACAATCGACTCGGTTGGAGGGGTCAGTCGATGCGATTCGATTCCTGATGAATAAGGTGCTGACCTGCCGGGGCCACAATGAGTCGGACGAGTCGCTCAACCACGGCAACTTCCTCGAGCTGCTTCAGTTCCTGTGCAAACGCGACGTCGAGCTGGCCCACGTCGTGCTCGAAAACGCCCCGCAGAACGCCATCATGACTAGTCCCGACATCCAGAAGGACATCATCCACGCCTACGCCCAGATGGTCCGAAAACTCCTCGATGATGAACAAGCTGACGCCTTCTACTGCATAATGGCGGACGAGACGCGCGATGCGAGCCAGAAGGAGCAACTGGCCGTCGTTAACCGCTTCGTTGAGATCAAGACTGGCATGCTGCGCGAGCGTCTCGTCGACCTGAAGCACGTCACCGACACGTGCGTCCCCACACTCCGCGATTCCATTGTCGACATGCAGACCAATCGCGGTCGCCCGATCGCCAACTGCCGCGGGCAGGCCTACGATGGCACGTGAGATCAACGGCCTGCAAGCCCTGATCAAGCAGCTGAACGATTTGGCCTATTACGGGCACTGCTGGGCGCACAAGCTCCCACTCGTGCTGCTTGCTGCTTGCAAGGATGGCGTCCCCGACATCGGCCTGTTCTTCGCATTGGTCAATGACATCAATGTGGTGACGAGCTCCTGCAAGCGCAACGACAATCTCATCAACACGCAGAAGAAGATCGTGCTGGAGATGATCAACGAGCTGCTGGTCGAGACAAGCCGTGGTCTGAACCAGGAGATGGCGTTGGTGCGCCCAGGCGAGACCCGCTGGTCGTCGTTCTGGCGCGCGCTGCGTCGCTTGATCGACATGTTCGGCGCGACAATGCAAGTCATCCAGCATGTGGAGACGGACGGCAGCAAGTCGGAGCAGCGGGTAGAGGTGACGCACCTGCTCGACGGCATGTGCACGTTAAAGTTTGCTTTCATCTTCCACCTAATGGAGAAGATGCTGCTTATCACGCATGACTTGTCGCAGGCGCTGCAAACGAAGGACCAGGACATTGTCAATGCACTGCGGTCGGTCGATGGCGTCGTCAAAGCGCTGACGGAGATGCGCGTTATCGGCTACGATGACCTGCTCTACAAGGTGCAGCAGTTCTGAGACCCACAAGATCGAGGTGCTCGATATGACCGCCAACTTCGACCTGGCCGGCCTCGTCGCGATGGGCATATAAACACTAATGATCATGTTTTCTGTGTCGACCTGTTGTACGTAGCGATCGACAAGATGCTGGCCGAGTTCGCCAACAGATTCAGCGCCGAGTCGATGGAGATGCTCCGCCTAGCAGCATGTATCTTTCCACGCAAGCAGTTTGCCTCGTTAAATGTCGACAAGCTCGTGGAGCTGGCCCGCAAGTTCTACATGATCGACTTTCCAGACGTCGACCTAATGCTTCTCGATCAGCAGCTGGTCCACTTCGGCAGAGAGATAGAGAAGGACGAGCTATTGAAGAATGTGGGCATGCTCCCCGAACTTTCGGTCATGCTGGTGCAGACCGGCTGGGCCATGGCCGGCTACCACCTTGTATACCGATTGCTGCGGCTGATACTGACGTTGTCGGTGGCGATGGCCATGGTCGAGCGCGTCTTCAGCGTCCTGAAAATCATCAAGACGCGTTTGCGCACCGCAGTGGGCTCCGACTACCTCAATGACGCCATGTCGAGAAAGAGAGACTGCTGCGACGGTGACGAACTATCAAATCATGTCATATTTCCAGGCCATGCGCTATCGCCGCACACGCGTCAAATAAAGAGCAAGGGACAAGTCCTTACTTACTCATTTTTTATTTTTGGAGGGGTTGCCCCCCCCAACCTGAAAATCCTGGCTCCGCCTCTGGGTAAAGTTTGTGTTCATTTGACAGTTGGACTTGAAAAAGAAAATGGCTTCTGGCCTTTGAATATCGGTGTATCCGCATAATATTGAGAATGTCATAGCAGGATAGGGTAAGCAACTTGGAGGTCTGGAATAATGTGGCAAAAAAAATCCATGGTAGATGTACTCTCCAAGCTGA